CACAGAGCAGAAGCTAAACTATTTAAGACTATGATAGAATGTAGAAACAGTTTAGCTAAAAATTACTCTGCACTCAACTACTTTCATTTTGAAAAGTTTATTTAAAAATAAAATTTACCAAGATGTGATTTATATACAAAATACATTCATTTACCTAAAAACATCTATAAATGCAATTATACACATGTCGTTCTTGGTGGCTTTTTTTTTCCCATTTAGCATAATGCTTTTAAGGTTCATTCATTTCACTTATTTGGTTTGTGTTTTGTCACTTGTTTAGTTTGGGATTTGCCTAACAATAATATATTTATTATACAGCAGCAATTTTTACTTTTTGATTGCTAAGGAGGATTTCATTATATGGATATACCACCATTTGCTTCTTCAGTTACATGTTGATTAGTATTTGCCTTATATCCAGTTTTACTTCTTTGGAAGTAATCATTGAGTATTCACATGAATGTCTTTTTGGGAATTCTTATCTTTGTATTTCTAGAGAAAATAGATAAGGGCAGTATTGCTGGGTCATTTGTTGATTTTATTTATTATTTATTTGAAATTGACAAATTATTTTCAAAAAAGAATTTTACTGTTGTGTATACCATCCAGCAATATATGAGAATTTTAGTTCAGTCTTCATAATATTAGCATTCCTAACAGGTGTGAAGTGATATGTCCTAGTGTATTTAATTTGTACATCCCTGATAAATAATGATGTTGATCACCTATTTTTTATTTGTCATTGTATTTCTTTTTGGTAAAGTATCTCTTCGAATCCATTTCCTGGTGTTGAATTGAATTTTTATTTTTTTTCCTTTTGAGTTTTACTATTTTAAGAAAAAAAAATTTATACAGCATTTTTTTTTTGTTTTTCAAATATATGACCTGGAAGTATATTTTCCCAATCCATCTATCTATCTATCTATCTACCTATCTATTTTGTCTTCATTTTTATAGTGATGCTTTTAGTTCATTTTTAAGTGTGAAGTAAAATTCTTTATTTTAGATACCTCATTTTTATGTTATATATAAATAAGTTTTGTCTTCTCTGAGGTTTTGAAAATGTTCTGTTTTACTTAAGGAGTTTCATAGTTTCAATGTTTTATGTCATAACTAATGATTAATAAATGAAAACTGATCTCAATTTTGATTAAAATTTTATATTTAAATAATATTTGTTCAAACAAGTGGTAATAATCAATTTATTTTATTTTTACTAATACTAATATGCACACTTAATTTTTCTGAATGTTATTGAGCTTCAGACCCATTCAAACATTTTTAAATGTCTTTTATACTGAGTTTAGCTTTCCATTTGTGAGGGCAATTCCTTCATTTTTTCAATCACTTAAATTTACATAGGCATATTAATCTACCATGTACAGAAGAATATGAGTTATTGCAGAGAATCTTATTTCTCATGAGACAACATCTAATGTGAACAAGCTATGGATGATGTAATAATTTATGATTTAAGAAAAGAAACTAGAGCTATAAAACAAAATATGTAACTGAATGTCAAATTAACATTAGAAAAAAATGAATGATTTCTATGAAGAAGATCATTACAGTTTAGAATTAGTTGAGAAGAATTCGTGGAAAAACTAAGTTGGCTGAAATTTAGATAAATGGCTGATAAATAAAGAATAAGAATAACGGCAGATCTGGTTATTGGACATTTAACCTAAAGTATCAGAAAACATACTTTTTACGATCTAGTCACTATAATTTCGTACAGAAAATCACCGATTGTGTGTATTTATGATGTAGAACTACAATAGCAATATTGACACATTCTGCTGTGCTAGAGACCACAATGCTTGTGGTCAGAAAGTATGGCAGGAAGGAGGTCTGGGTAAGAGTTACATGTGGATTATAAAGGGAGGGTTGAAGTATCTGAAGACAATTATTTATTTCTGTTTTAATCACTTGGCCATTGCAGCTTCAGAACAGTCATAAACAGCACGTAATGGAATAGAAACAGGAATAGGTGTTCCAATGAAACTTTATTGGCATTGAAACTTAAATTTTGCATAATTTTAAAATGTGATGTGTATTGTTTTCTTAAAATTTTGTTTCATTTGTAACATGTAAAAATCGTTTTTAACTCATACACAAATGGACAGTGGTTTACTTTTGACTTACTGGCTACTGTTTACTGGACCTTGGTCTGATTGATTTATAAAGGAGTAGAAATGAATCGCAGCAAGGCACGGTGGCACACAGCTGTGTTCCTAGTTACTCAGGAGTTTGAGTCAGGAAGGTCACAAGCTCAAGGTCAGCCTAGGCAATATAGTGAAAACCCTGTCTCAACATAAAAAGGAACATCATGACTGGGAATACACCTAAGAGATAGAGCACCTTGGGTTAAATCCTCAGTAACACACACACACACACACACACACACACACAAACACAAATGATATGCAGTTTGCGTTAGCTTTTTAAACTAGCTGTATATATACATGGTAAATAAAGACAAATTTTATTTGCATGCTTATGGCCAGATTTTAATTTAGAATTACAAGTAAATTCACAAATACATAAAAGTACATAAATCCATAATGTAAAATAAACTTTAAACATAGAAAAACAGTAAATACCAATAATTACAATACAAAAAAAATATTGATTGTAATCAGTCTCCAAAGAGTCTATACCTAATTAAATGAAGACCCAAGAAGTTTGTGTTTCAGTTTCATTTCTTCAACTTATTTATTATACTAACTCAATAATTCTAATTCACATTATTAGTGTTCTGTCTGACTGGGAAGTCAATAACCACATCATTCTGAATAATGACAAGACTGAACATATGAGTCTGGGAGATACTTGCGGGCATATTACAATTCCAGTCTCTTAAGAGCAAAGTATGAAGGAGTTCTCAGCAAAATAAGTACTGTGCAGACATGAGTGAAGTTCTTGAAAACTCAGGATCCAGGGGAGGAAAAAGGCACTTCACTGAGGATAACAAGTATTGTGTATCCATTACCTGAAAGACAGATGTGGCTATGTTTAAAGAACATCAGCTGAAGGATTCCGGGAAGGCATTGTTTCATAATAAATAGAAGTTGCCTTAAGTACCACCCAACTCCTTCTCTGTTCCAAAGGAATTCTTGCAGTAAGTAATGTGACTCTGACTGAAAACATGAAAAATAATGTACGTTTATGTTCTGATTTACATATCTCTGCATTAAACTTTGTAACTTCAGCACCACCAGTTATAGGCTCAGATTTTTCCAAATTATTTTTTTTAACCAATCTTACTTTATCTCTGCAATGACACCCTTAGGGTACATAGAACCAAGGTTCTCATTACAATTAATTTTATTTTTCATTCCTGTACTTACACATATTCTGCTAAAGCAGAAATGTGAATTTAATCAGATGCAATACAGTATCTTTAAAAAGATAGCACATATCTAACACCTGTCAGCTCATCAATGTTTGGTCTACTACTCTACAAATTGCTACATAGATCATTCCTGACACCTAAGCTGAGGTAGAGAATAAAACACAACTTGTAAATTTTATATGACTCACAAGCAAAATATATTCATAGAAGATCTGGTCTCAGACTTTTTGATTTTGTAACACCTTTAGAGACTTAAATAGTAGTGACAGTCTTCAATAACTTTTGTTTATCTGAGATATATTATGCATATATACATGAATGATATATTAAAACTGTAAAAATGTAAAACATATATCAGAATAATGATGTCACAACAATATTAACATCTGGAAAACAAACTGTGCACTCACAGAGAATGAGAGTAGGAAAAGCTTCATAGCTTTCTTTATTTTCAAAATAGTTTTTGCTTTATAGACGTGCTGAAAGATTTTCAGGAAATTAAGAGGATCTTGTACTGTATTTGGATAATTGTTTCAGTGAATAGCAAGACAAAGCAATAATTGTGTGGGGGATATTTTTTAAAACCCTTATCCTACACTTTGAGGAATGAAATGAAAAAATGAGGTTAGGAACTTCCTTTTCTACCTGGAATTGTAGAAAAAAGATAAAATTTTCATCTTTTGTTGATAGCAAGAGTCTATAAATTTCCCTTCTACCTATGAAGAATAAAAAACATATTAGAAAATCAAAAAGAAGTAGGATTCCATGGAGGTGAGAGAGTAAGGGTAGGGTTTATTCTTTGATCTATGTGTGTTCATAGGCATAAAATCAGGAAATCTGAGTGGGTTGCTGACATATTTGTATATATTTGTATATATAATATATTATTTGATTTATTTTAAAATAAATCTCAAACATTTAAATACCAGTGATTTTATGTTAAACGTTATTTTAAAACAATGTTTAATATTTCAACATTATCAGTCTATTTTTTTAATAATTTGGAAATATAAAACCCTATAATAGTTTACTATTAAATGAAGTTTACTATTAGAATAAAATAAATCATGGTATGATTTGATTTAATTAGAGTATTAAAATGATCAAATGTTTTGGCAAAAATTAAATATGTGAGTATACACTCAATGTAATTAAAGCATAAGTTTAAAAAGTGTAGAACGTGTTAATTAATGGCTAAGCATTCAACTAATATATTCTTATTCTCTTTCAGAAAGTTTAACAGATACAGCATGCTTCATTTGAATATACATCAAACATTCAAAACTATTTAGTGAATATTTCAAATGAAATTTCACTTCTAAGACAATATTTGTTTATCCAGTGAGCCAAATAAAAATATTGTACATAATTTAGTTATTTAACTTTAAATAAAGGGAGGTATAACATGAAAACCGAATTGTATCAATATTTACAAAAAATCATTTAATATACTGTTTTCTAATTTATTTTATCATATATTCATAACAATCCGTTGATAAAATCTATTACACAACTCTATCAGTTAACACAATCTGTAACATATTGTTTGGCTAACATTTGTCTCCTTTGTAGAAGTAGGATCACGATATCTATATAAAGGAAATTTTTACAAATTTTTCAGTGCTCAATATGGATTACTGTGAAGGGAAAGAACACCTGGGAGCCAGAGACACAAGAAAAGTTTATCCCTAACCACAGGGGAACATTTGACTCACGATGCACCTGCCTCTTTGACAAGTAAGAGAGAAATTTGAAAGTAATTTCTATTCCATTGTCAATAATAGTTTATAAAGCCAGAATTTTGCATGTTATTTGTTTTCTTAAAATTATAATAACAAACGTAAAAAGAAGTTTGGTTTTTTTTTTTAAGTATAAATCTGAAGTTTTTGCTTGCTCTGCTTATGTGGTCTACTATTTCAACTACATCTTTAAAAGCATATTTCTGGTTAGTCTCCTGTCTCTTGTAATATAATTCCTGAAAGGTTTCTAGTTTATTATGCATTTAATTCAATGCATTGCCAATGTAACACATTTAGACTAGGTTTTGTTTTCTCACACGCATTGATTTTCCCATGAAACCCTCTTTTATTCCATTCTCCTGGAAGAATACCAAATAGTGTTCTCTCTCTCTCTCTCTCTCTTTTTTTTTTCCAATTTGAGGGTTATATTCATTGTGCTTAGTATTGTTTTCTCCTGGAATCATGTTATTTTCTATATTAATTTTTATTTTATTAGATAATCTTAGAAAGTAATAAGTGTTAAGATAATAAATTGGGCTGATCTAATAGAGTGTAGAAATGGGTAGTCAATGCTTTACCTGTGGATAGTTTTACAGACCAAAGGCCCATTGCAGAGCCGAGGAAGCAATAGTGGTCCTTTTTCACCAATTTTCTTGATCATACCAGAAATATTTTCAAAGATGCTCAGAGAAGCAAACACGAGTTTATTAGAGGGTGTTGGGGAAGGAGAAAAGTAGATTTTCTTAAAGTAGAGGGTGCATCCTCTCAGAGCACTCTATACCTGACCTCCAGTTTTGTTGGGGGTCCCTGGAATGTTTCCAGAGAGTCCTGTCCAGTTCTACCTTTTGAGTTTTGACAGACAACAATATGGAATCACTTTTTAGTCTCCACTGCACATGGTAAATATCCAGGATAACTCTTGGTCACTGTGGCATATGCTGACTGGTTCAAATTGGAACCTGTTCTTACAGATTTTATGGATAGGGGCAATCATTCTTATCTCCCTGAGTTCTGAACCTGGTTTGGTTAAGAGTTACAAAGTCTCCCTGCCCCAGAGTAACATGTGTTCTTATCTGTACTTCAAGTCTGCATCTTTCCTGCAGATAATAAGTTGTTTGCCAAGGGATGCAACATACTCTCTTGACTCTTAAGCCAGGCAGGGATTCGGGTAAATTGCTTTAAAAAGAGCATGCGGGGCTCAGCACAGTGAGTCCAGTTTATAGAATTATGCCTTCAACCTCAGGTTCCCATTACTCATGCCTGTCTGTTACCTATCAGATAGGAAATTCCACTTACATTAATGCCTGCATCGTTAAGAGTTTGAGACATTATTTGTGCTAAGATGGAAAAAAATATTAGAGATCAAGGGAAAAGAGCAAGTGTAAAGATGCTGAGGTAAAAATATATCTTCTGTTTCATGGACACAAGTTCTGAGGGGTGAAAATGCCTGCAATGAGATCAGAAAAGTGGTAAGAAAAGAAACTGAAAGGATTTTGAAAGGCTTGATAAATGTTAGCACGAAAAGTTACTGGGATATGTAGCTGCAAGTAAAGGCAGGAGAGATGCACGTTTATTAGGGACTCTGAGACTCTGTTCACCATTAGTGAGATTAAAAATGTAGGAAGGGAGCAGAAACTAGGGAGGATGGCCATCTTTCCATATTAGGAGTACTCCTTAGTTAAAGAGAGGAAAAAATCAGAATTGCCATCTTGTAAGTGCAAGGAATTGAACTCTACCAACAAGGAAATGGGTTCTACTTTGGACCCTTCAAAAAGAAACAGAACCTACCAATATTTTGGAGTCCCCAGTAAGACCCATGTTAGCCTTCTCATTGACAAAACTGTCAGATAAAATTTGTGTAACTTAATTTGCCAAATTCTGGTAATTTGTTATTGAAGCAGTAGAGTATTACATAGTTTTATATATATATTATGTTTATGTGGTGCCGAGGATCGAACCCAGGGCCTTGCACGTGCAAAGCAAGCACTCTACTGCTGAGCTGTAACACCAATGGCACAACATACATCTTAATAATGTTAAATTTCTAATGATTCAAAGACACAGGCAATAAATAGTACAGAAGATAAAATATTTCTGTATAAAGAACTCTTGACACTGAAAACATTTGTTTCAAAATACATCCCTTTGTCCAGTGTTGGATACATTTGGGAATCAGAGAAACAAATGAGTTTTGAATGAGTACATAAACAATATACCCAGAATTTTGTTTGAGATTTCTCCAATGGTCTAATTCATTGTCATAAAATTATGTGTGTGTATAAATATACACACATATATACACACATATTTATGCATGTATAAGCAAATATTATGGTTAAAATGTGCTTATTAAATGAATAGCATTACCTTCTTTACTTTTCTTCTTTTTTAGAGAATCATTATGAGAATCTAATTTTTAAAATTAGATTTTGAAATTATAAAGTTGAGTGAGTCTACTGTTATGATTTTGTGGATACATTTCATTATACTGATATGATTATATTGATGTTATATTTAGGAAATCTCTGGTAAATGATTGGCCTGCTCTTCTTATATATTAAGTTGTGTAATGTCTAAATTAAATTTATAAAATGAATTTGATTTTTTAATATGAAGATGTCCTATAGAACAGAAGAGCAAAAAAGAGAAAGTAACTGAATATTTTAAACATGGCAGTATTATTTGGCAGAATTATAATGAGATTTTTATCAAATACATAATTTATATATTTATAAATTCACATAAAATTATATATGTGTGTATATATATAAATACATATATACATATATAATTTTGTATTTCACATAAAATTATATATGTATATATGATCTTTTAAACAAGCTACATCTTGTTCATTTCAATTAATTATTGTAAATACTTTTGGATATTTGGAGTATTGTACTTGGAGAAAGAAAAATGGTCCTGGTATCAAAGTCTGTATTTGCTTGCACGATGCACTGAAAATTATCACAAACAGAGGTTTATAATTACTACTTAATATCAGGTTCTATATGTTAGAATGCCTGAAATCATGTAGCTGATTTCTCTGTTCAAGGCTTAACTAGAAAACTATTTGTATTGAAACTCCCTCAAATTGTTGGGTGATTTTATTTTCTTCCAGTGATAGAATTAATGGAAGTCTTATTTTTCAAAATCAGTAGTAGAGTTTCTGCTACAAGAAGGTTGTGCTCTCTGGACCCACTTTTAAATGTCTCAAATGATTAGGGAGACTCACCTAATAGAATCTCTTTGGACTACCTAAGATTAACTGATGAAGTATTAATTACATTATGGCTTAATTTTATCTTTATGCATATGCATATATGCAATATTACTTAAAGCAGTAATTGATTGTCAATTACTTCAAAAAGTAAAGGAAACTTGTAATGCACAAAAACACATGGATAAATCTTTATCTCATTATGCCAAGTAAAAGAGGACAAATTTTAGTGGTAACATATTGTATAATTCTGTTTCTGTGACATTCTGAAAAATACCAAACTATAGAGGCATAAAATGGATCATTAGTTATAAGATTCTGGAAGTTGAAGACAAACTGACAATAAAATTACATAGAGAGATATTTGGAGGATGATGAAAATATTCTTCTCTTGTTAGCAGCTGGAGGATGTTATATATTGGTCAAAATTCATGGACTGTATACAAAAAGAAGAATTTTACTATGAGTAAGTTATGCTTTTATCAGTCTTTCTGGCAATATTTCTACTGAAACAATTTTCTCAAGGCCATTGTGGGACTTACATGGATTTCACTGAGTTTACTTCCATTACCACAGCCACACTCATGAATCTTTTTATTTAAAGACAATCACTTCTCTCTTGTGGCTAATGGCCAATATCTGTAAAGTTGTTAGATGTGTTCTGGATTGAGAGAGGGGGTCAATGAGACACACTTTTACAAACCTGACTATTGTTTTGCTCCTGAGAGAAGGCAAAACATCTTAGCAGAAGTCAGAGGAAAGCTATTAAAAGAGAGGAGATGGAGACAGAGACAGGAGGGTTCCAGGACATGTACTATTCCCAAGGCCATGCCCTCAGTGACCTACTTGTTCCAGCTTTGCCCAGCTGCCTATAAGTTTCACAACTTTCCTTTAAATCCATTCAGATTATTAATCAGAGCCCTGGTAATGTAATTCCTTCAACACTGACCATTACTGCATTGGCTAACACATTAGCTCTTTGCGACATTTGAGATCCAGATCTTAACAGTGTGGATATGGGAATTTTTTCTGATGTTTAGGATTGGTTCACTAGCATTTATTATGTGGGAGAAATAAAACATCTCAAAAAAGAGAACTGAATGTGTGATAAAACTAATTATATAATTTTCTACGTATAATAATATATGAGCCTTGGATTTATTCATTTTTTCTATCTAAAAGCCTCTTTACTCTTCAAAATAATATATTCTTTTTAAAAACTCAGAATATTACTGTGCTCTGTAGAGTTTTTCTTCTAAAACCATTAGGAATTAAATTACATGAACAATTATTCTTCATAATATTATTTCTTTTTAATATTACATGTTCATAAATTTAACAATGAGAGAACCGATTTGTCATTAAGAATATGTACTGGGCTCTATAAAAATCAAATCCCTTAAATTAGAATGTTAGTAGATCTGTGTAGGTATTATTTTTGTGTGTCCAAATTGAAAACTATGTATTCTTGTGATTTATTTAGTTTCACTCTGTTGTAAATTCTTGAAGTGATAAAAACCAAGAGAACTCAAAATGAAGAGAATATATATATATATATATATATATATATATATACACATATATATATACACACATATATATATGTTTGAAGACTATAATAATAATAACAAATATTATATAACATGCTCCTTGCAATGTGTTAGTACTGTATGGCATCTATCCTGACAGCTTTGAATTAAAATCATTGGTTAAAAGAGAGAGGAAGTATATATACTGTTATTCAAAGACCTGGAAGAAAACCAGCACTGTCTATATAAAAAGCAGAAAAAATCACTGTTACTCCTTGACTAGCTAGAGACAGGCACCTTGCTTGCTGCACAGATGAGCAAACTCAAAACTGCTGAGAGCTGATGCTATCTGTTATAATTGCAATGTGATAACAGTGCAATGGAGTGTGGTATGTAATACATATTCCCCATTTCTCAGTTTTATTTAAAGAATAATTTCTCTTTTATATGTCTCATTTTTCTTCCCCTTTAGGTTATTCCTATCTAAAGGGACAGGAAAAGGACATCTTTGGGGGAATATTGCTGTTACAATTGGGTATGAGTAACTCAGGTCCACCTTCCCTTTACGATTCGTCTACACATAATGTATGTACTGTTCTGATCCTTCATGTCATTAGCTTTACAGAGGCAGGCTACATGTAGAAAAATCTGTACTTCCCTATGATCCTCTGTGATTCTATGGGTAAATCTGTGTAATTTGGGGATTCAGTACATGTGAACCTGTTGTTGAGCCCAGTTTAGCTATGTTCTTTAGTAGTAGCCACATCATTCATAAAGGTGACACATTTCCTTCTGCCTATTTTTTTAATTACTCCTTTAGAATTTAGACTGGTAGAAATAAGATTAGATGCACCACTAATGTGTAGGACCAAGAACAAGATATAAGTGAAGGGTCTTCCCTTTTTTTTCCATCTCAGACTCCCTCAAGAATGAGCAGGGCCCACATGTATGTGTGTGGACCTCCCAGTTTGAACAGCAAGGTTGAACCCAGCACTTATCAAAATAACTGCCTTTGGTCAGGCTTGTCATTAGAGGTCCAAAAAGACAGGCAGCAAGTCTTTAGGCAGAAGGAGTAGAAAATTTGCTTCAGCAGTTTCTGAACCAAGTTCATCACTTTTTTATAGTGTAGCATCTAAAACCCTTCAGCTTTGTAGGGTGTAGTGGCACACTCCTGTAATCCTCAGTCCTGTGTCCCTGAGTTATGGTGTAGGGCAAGAAGAAAATGAACACTCTAGGGGAACGTTCCCCATAGCCTTCAATTCCTTGTACAGTGGGGAATAGTGCAACCAAACAGGGGTCAGATCTGAGACTGGGGTCCATGGCAGGGAGTCTTCTGGAACCAGTCAGTCATCGAGGATTATTATGTATTGTTCTCTTTAGAACAAATGTACTATGCTCTTAAGCTTATAAAAGACATTTTGGCTGCAACTCTCAGCTTCCCCAGAATAATAGAGCGCAAAGAAAGAATATGTTTTGATGCAGTGCAATAGAACCAGAAGGATCAGTTTCCCATCTGCATTAGGAGTCTCCATACCAAGAACATGAAGTGTGAAGCCTATTGTTCAGGAAGCTTTCTATTACATAGTTTTTGGTCTTTGTGTGCCTAGAGAGTTTCTGTGATGCTTCCTGTGAAAAAAGTTGTTACCCAAATCAAACTACCATCCTGTGCAGAATATGTGGGAGACAAGCATTTAGCCAAAAAAAGTTTATGCATTTTGGAGCAGTTCTTGCTATTGTATAAAAAGGCTCATTACACATTTAAATATAACTTAATATTTGGAAAGGTTTTTTTTTTTATTCATATGGCGCACCAACTGTTTTTTACAATTACTTTCATTTATAAAGTTTTCCTCATTAAATTTTTTAAAAATATATTTCCTTTTTTTTCTATAACTTTTCTGGAGTATATTCAATTTAGATCAGTCAATGAAAAAAATATATTTAAATATAAAAACACATATACTTAATTATTCTCAAAAGAGTTATTGGCAGTAATGCCAAATTCTTATTGATAGTTCTATATTTCCTCAATGGTAAATATCAATAAAAAGTATTGATTTTGGCTATATTATAAAAATATTCATTCTCATACACTGCCCACAATGTATATATTGTTATATAAATAATAGACATGGTTTTAAAAATGTATATTAAAACCAAAAGTTTGTACTGGTATATAATTAAAAATATAAAAAAGCTTTCTTATTTATTTATTTGTTTGATTGATTGTTTATAGTACCATGGGGGATTGAACTAGGGCTTCAAATGCAGTCCTTAATTGCATGCTTTCTGTGTCTTCATAAAATGAAAACATGAAGCTAAATTTCAATACCAATAATGTATGCTTGATTACAATATTGTGAAATAATTTGTAAGAATAATATAAAACAGTGATTAAATGTATTGTAATATATATGTGTATATTTGTAAATTAAATATACAAATCAAATTCCACTTTAAAGCAGCTTCAGAAATAAATGCTGAAAATGAGCCCATTCTTGGTTCCTTATTGTCAATTTATAAAATTTAAAAAAGTAATTCTTATATATC